CCCATGTAATTGTAAACCTTCTGTACCGTTTTTTCATAATTAAAATAATAATAATAATTTAGGTTCAAAATGCAGTTAAATTTTAGACCTACACGATGCGCAAGAGATAGGATAAATGTGAAATAGAGGCTTGCTATTAACATTATAATTCAGTTATATGTAGGCTTAGGATTAGGCAAGGTGTTGCAGTTAGAGTTGGGGTTAAAATGAGAAAAATATATTGTGTAAAACTGCAGCATATTTTAAGAAGAATGACTAACATCAAAGTTACAATGAATGAAAACCAGTGTCAGTGTTACTTTAAACATTCAGCTATAATTTGGTTTAAAGTGAGTTACTGTTTTAGTTCTGGTTAGTGTAAGGGAAGGACAAGCTTTAGGCTAAAATTTAGTTTTCGACTAAGAAGTAGAAGCAAAAAAATGTGTGATTGATTAAATAGAGACAATTTTCCTTACATTAATCATTTGCTTTTAATTCAGATTGTGATTAGCATTAGGTTTCTGGTTAAAAGGGGTTGAGGATAGAGTAAAGAAATGGATTAAACTGGTGGCTCATGCCTGCTGTCCTACCTACTCAGGAGGCTGATTTCTGAAGATCAGAGCTCAAAGCCAGCTCGGCAGGAAAGTCTGTGAGAATTTTATCTTCAATTAAGCATGAGAGAACCAGAAAGTGGTGATGTGGCTCAAGTGGCAAAGTGCACACTTTGAGCTGAAGAACTCAGGGATCATGCCCATGCCTAGAACTCAGGGATAGGATCTAGGCCCAAAGATCAGGCCCCACGACCAACAAAACAAAAATAAAGAAATGGGGAAAATGTTAGGTAAATTTGAACTTATTTTAGTTTCTAGGAATTCAGGAAATGCTGGGATAATGGAAGTACAATGTATTTCATTATATTAGGATTTGAGATCAATGGGTACAATGATTCCTTTTATGGAATAAGATAGGTTCAGAGATAAGAGTGAGAAAATCTGTAGGGTTTTGGAAAACCTGCAATTCATTTCAAGAATTACAAGTGGAATTTTAGTTAGGAGAACACAAAGTGAGCATTTTCCATAAATTTTAGAATTGGGATAGCATTAGTGTCAAGGTTATGGTTAGGATTCCAGCCATGTTTAGGGTTAGAGTGAAGGAAAAAAATGGGGCTCAAATTGAAGGTAAATTTTAGAATAAGCCTGGTAAGAATTAGAGTGAATGTCAACTAGCGTATTGCTACTAATATTAGAATTTACTTGCAATTAGGCTTATGTTTATTCTCAGTGTTGCAGTTAAGATTAAGTTAGGGTTAGAAAATGACTAAGATATTGGAAAAAATTGAGACCTATGTTTGGAAGGCTTATTTGAATCAACTTAGGATGAGTGAAAACTAGTGTACTTGTGTGAGTGTTAGTATTGACATATAATTGGGATTAAGATCAGGGCCAGCATTTTGTTCTGATTAAGATTAGTGTTATGAATAGGAATTTTTTGTATAAAATTGAGTTTTCACTAACAAATAGAAGCAAAAAAATGTCAGGCCGAATAGTAACTAGAGCATTATCATTATATTTATTTCTCAGTGATCAATCTTGTAATGATTAATGAGAGTTTTCCAGCCAGGTTTAAGTTGAGAGTTAGCTTTAAGTAATGGACTAGATGGTAAGTAAATCTGAAACTGTTTTAGGATACAGTAGTTTAGGAAAGATAGATCAATGGATAATACAGTATTTTTAATGATTAGAGAATTTGAGGACAAATAACATAATGGTTCAGGTTAGGGAACAAGATAACTTTAGAGGTAGAGTCAGGACATTTTTGGGAATTAGGGCAAATTGAAATTCATTTCCACAGTGCAAATTGGAGTTTTCGATAGAATGAATAAAAACTAGAGTATTTTTCTTAAACATTAATATTGGACTCTCATTAGGTGGAAAGTTAGGTTTCAGTTCCAGCTAGGCTTAGTTTTAGCATTAAGCAAATGGAAAATTTAGGGTCAAACTGGAAGTAACTCTCAAATAACAAGTCAAGTTAGAATTAGGATGAATATGAAATAGGAAACTGATAATAATATTAGGATTAGGGTATGATTAATGTGAGGGTTAGCCTAAATGTTCCAGTTAGGATTCAGGTTAGAAAAATGGCAAGATATTGAGTAAAACTACAAACTATTTTAAGAAAGATGAGTTGAAACAAAGATGGGAGGAATAAAATCTAATGTATTTGTGTGGGTTTTTGAATCCAAAGGCAATCGGTTCTAGGGTTAGGGTTATTTTTCTAATTGATGAACTAATGAATTAAAGGCACAATTACTTCATTCTTACAAATCAAGACACTCATGATTTTGAGAACAAACTCAATTTTCTGCATGAAAATATGTCTTGTAACCAGGATTAAATAATAATGAGCAGGGTGTCATTTATTAAAATTAGGTAAGTTGATGATACATCCAAACACATAGGATAGTAACTCAGTCATGTTACTGGGAAAACATATATTCTGCTTGCTCTAACTGGGAAATATGTGTCTGTATGTGTGTGGGAGGATGGGGGTGTGTGTACCCCCACAGGATTTCAACTCAGTCATGAGTCCTTTTGTCAGCTTAGTCTGTGCAAAGATGGCACTAAACCACATAGCCACAGGTCTTCTTCTGTCTTTTTAGTAGTTAATTTGAGATACAGATTTCATAGATTTTCCTGTCTGGACTTACTCTTCTTTTCCCCAGAAATCCTTGATTAGTGTTACTGTGGCTGCTACCACAAAGTAACAATTCATTAAACTGGGAGCAATATGGAAGTGCTTGTACAATATATAAAGTAACAAGTTCATTAATTTTGGAGAATCACATTAGATTGCCTTCAAACAAATTGTTTCTGATGTGTTTATCTGAAGCCCAAAGCATAATCTAAACCTACTAGCTACAATGTATGAAGTAGCATATATTTATTGTGTAGAATATGTACAATGAATTACATCCTGAATCAAAAGTCTTTCTTGGTTTGCTACTTAAAAACAAATCAGAAATAGAGTGTCATTTAAATGAAGTCCAGACTGGAGACCTGTAGCGAGCAGGAGAGCATCTGCTCAGTGAGCACAAGGCATGGAGCCCAACCCCCAGGACCATAAAGGAAGAAATAGAAGAAAGTGAAAGTGTAGGAGAAAGAGGAAAGGAAAGGAAGAGGAAGGGGCAAGAGAAGAGGAAGGGCATAGCAGGAGGAAGAAGAAAAGGTACAGGGAGAAAGTAGAGGGGAGGAGAGAAGGAAGAGGGAAGCAGGACCCTGGGGAAAAGAGCAGGAGAGGAGACAGGAAGAGGAAGATAAATGCAATATAACAACAATAATTCTTGGAAAACATTTTGCATAAGTCATCTGCAGGATTATTTTCTAATCAGAGAGAGAGATACCACAATGACTATATGGGTGATACCTGTTGCTCGGTCATTTTATTCTTTTTCTCCAGTGAGGAGATCAAAAGAAATCCTGAGTTTGGTATTTTACAGATACACTTCAGGATTTCTTTTTCATGAATCAAACATGGGAAAGAACTAGATGCAATCACCCTTAATTTAAAAAGGAATAGAAGCTATATTTATTTGTATTACTGTGTATGAAGAAATTCTGGAGATTTCTGGCTAATTCAGAGGGCCTCATGCCAAAATATAGGGCAAGAGGAAAGTAAAACTGTTTTTAAAGTGTAATAGGTTATAATTGATGCAAAGATTTACTGGATGTCTTTCCTTTTTATTTCTTTTTGCCAGTTGTTCAGTGCTGCTGCAAGGCTGCCTTTTCAAGTCACCACATTAGGATGTGAGGGCGATCTGGCCACGACATCTGTCACCCCATTGATCGCCAGGTTTGATTGGGCTGATCTGGCTGGGTAGGCAGGTATCCCCTTCCTCCCTCACAACTCCCTGTGCGTCCCTCTCGAAGCTGCGAGCTTGGTCGAAGAGGACGACCATCCCCGATAGAGGAGGACCTTTTCAGACCACAACAGAATAAACTTTGAATTAAACAGCTAAAGCAACAAAAGGTCAAACCCATGATGAATGAACAACACACTGCTTTATGACCAGTGGGGCACTGAAGAGATTAGAATGGAAATCTGAAAGTTTCTGGAATATAACAAAAATGAACACACAAAATATCAGCTCTTCTGGGACATATTAAATGCAGTTCTTAGTGGAAAATTTATAGCTTTGAATGCCTACATCTAGCCATTGGGGAAATCTCAAATCAGTATTTTAATTATGTACCTCAAGCTCCTTGAAAAAAGGAACAAGGCCAAAGCCAAGTAGACAGAAACAAATAAAAAAATTAAATCAAAAGAAAGATCAACAAAACAGAGCTGGTTCTTTCAATAAATTAACAGACTTGACAGAACCTTACCAAAGCTGACTAAAAAGAGACCTTATGTAGATAGAAAGATAAGTAGAAAACACACCGATTGGGAGAAGATCTTCAGTTGATCTGCAACACACAATGGCCTCATATCTCAAATATTCTTAGAAGCACAAAAGTTAACCCTCCCCAAAAAACAAATCCTTAAAGAAACTACAACCCTCATAATATAAGGGGGCTTAAGATTTAAAGAGAGACCTCTCTGAAGAAGAAATATGAATGACCAATGGACACATGAAGAAATATGGAACATTTCTGGCCATAAAAGAAGTGCAAATCAAAGCAATATTGAGATTCCATGTCACCCCAGTTAGAAGGACCATTATGAAGAAAATTAATAACAGATGCTGGGCTGGGGGGGAATGGAGCCAAAAAGGAACATTACTGGCCTGGTGGGGAATGTGGCCAAAAAGGAACATTACTGCACTATTGGTGAAAATGTAAACTTCTTCAAATACTCTGTAAAGAAGTACAGAGGTTCCTCAATAGAGTTCTCCTATCACCCAGCAATGATGGATCAAGAAAATGTCGTATATATTCACAACAAAACTCTGTGCTTCCATCAGATGAATGACATTGCCCCATTTGTAAGGAAATGGAATCATTTGGAAACATAACAAGTCAAACAAGCCAGACACAAAAAAGTCATAGGCTACATATTTTCACTCATTTGGAAAAACTAGAATATATCTAGGATATTCACAATAGCTCAATAGCAATATGCATATCACCATATAAAATGATGCTTATACAAATGAACTCCAAGAAATGGATACAAGATGATGGTACAGTGAACTGTTTTTAGTTGTTTCTATTTAGATTTACCCTTTGGTTTATTCCCTGTAGTCACTGTTTTTGATTTATGTACCCTTTGTCTTATATATGTTAATCTGATTTGGGGAAGGGAAGGGAAATCACAGAAATGGTGGAACAAAGATTAACCAAAGCAACAATGATATACACTAGACCTTATGTTACAAATGAACTTTACAACTTGTGGGAGTGGGATGTCAGGTTTGGGGGAAGCAGGCAAAAATGAGCAAGGGGTAACACTGTTAAAAATGTACTCATTACTTATGTACTTGTAACCCACCCCTCTGTATATCATCTTCATAATAATAAATACCCAAAGCAATAAGAGAACTCATCCAAATAGAGAAAATTAAAGACAAAAATGAGACCAAACAACAGATATAAGCAAAATTGAGAATGATATAAGAGAGAACTTTGAAAACCTTATGCCAATCTCCTGGAGAATCCTGGAGAAATTGACGCTTTCCTATACTCAATCTGAACCAAGGAGTAACACATAAGAAGAAATGAAAATGAAATGTCAATAAACCACATCCCATTCAAGAAAAATCTAGGACTCAATGAATGTACCATGAAATTAAGGCCTGGAAAGAACTTACAATACACAGATCTAAGTCTTTAATGGAATAGAAAGGGAAATGGAATTATCAAACACATTCTATGAAGCTAGATTTATACTCTTCGCCAAATCACATAGGGACTCACCAAAAAAAGAAAACTATGAACCCAACTCTTTGACAAGCAATGATGCAGAACTTCTTAATAAAATTCTCACCAACCAATTTCAGCACTAACAGAAAAGTTATATTGTATAATCAAATAGGATTCATCCTAAGATACAATTGGATTCAATATACTTGTCAATAAACATCATACAAACCATCAGCAGAAGAAGGGACAAGAAACACATGATTGTCTGTAGGGATGTAGAAATAGCTTTTAACAAGCTCCAATACAACTTTATGATTGAAAGGTCTGAGAAGCTAGAAATACATGGAACATTACTCAATATAATACATAGTATGTATATGGCAGAGATAATTAGCATTTACCTAATGGTGGAAGCATGAAGACATTAAAATCAGGAATGAGAAAAGGATGGGCACTTTCTCTACTACTCTTCAATATGGTAGTGGACTTTATAGCAAGAGCAATAGGCAAGAGAAAAACATAAGTATTCAAATGATTTTTTTCCTTTCTTGTAATTGTTTCTAACATATTTATAAGACAATTTATTTGTTGCTTTGTATTTCCCTCCCCCATGGTATAACCCATGCTTTAACAGTATTTGATGTTGGTATAATTTGTGGAGGGGAAGGGAAAAAAGAAATCGTTTAACTAGGGATACAGATGGACCCATTTCAAAATGAGATGTACAAGTCGTTATGTCAAAAAACGAAATTTACAACTTTGGTGGGGGGTGGGGTGAGGTTTGGGTGGGGTGGGAGGAGTATGGGAAGGTATGGGAAGGGGAAGCAAAGAGGAGGCAACAATGCTTGATAAGAAATGTGCATGTTATCTTGCCCATGTAATTGTAAATCTTCTGTACGGTATTCTCACAATAAAAATATAAATAAGTAAATAAAAAGAAAAACATAAAGGGGATCCAAATAGGGAAGATGTAAACCTCTCCCTTTTTACAGATGAAATTATACTGCATTTAAAAGACCCGATAACTTATTTCAACAATCTCCGATTAGTTAATTGCTTTCAGAAATATTCGTTTGTGCCAAGAAATACAGATATCCTTTGATTTTAATTACAGTCGGATATTAGGACTCCCACAGAAACCTAAATCAGAGGATGCTAATTAATCTGATAAAATGCATAATAAAATTTTATAATTAATATAGCATGAAGAATTTAATATTAATAATATTAAAAATAATTGTATTCACATTATATAATGTATTGAAATCCTTTAGTTTCATCAATTTTTAGAATATAACTAAATGTAAATTGTTTGCAAATGTTATCTGATGATGTATAAAAAATGAGAAAAAGATTTGCATACATATTACTACAGATGCAAACAGATTCACCTGGTTATTTATGATCCTTCATTTGTTGGTTTCATTCATGCATGGAGAACATGCAAAGAAGTGAAAATTGCAAACTTGACTTTACTAAAGGATTAATTACATGGAGGTTATGTTGGGCTAAATAGATTTTATGAATTAAATTGTTTTGACCCATCCTTTCTCCCTCGCTTCCTTCCTTCCTTTCTTCTTTGCTTCCTCCTTCCTTCCCTCCATCCCTACCTCTCTCTCTCTTTCTCTCCTTTCTTTCTTTCTTTCTTTCTTTCTTTCTTTCTTTCTTTCTTTCTTTCTTTCTTTCTTTCTTTCTTTCTTTCTTTCTTTCTTTCTTTCTTTCTTTCTTTCTTTTTTCGTCCTATATTCCTCTCTTCCTTTTACTCAGAATATCTCTTATGGCTATAGAAAAATCCCAACTGCTGTACTCTAAGGTGTTATGAGTAATTATAAACAATAACTAGATTAATATTAATTTTAATAACCTATGTTATATCTTAACACAAATTATACTAAAAACAACTTCTCAAATGTTCCAAGATATGTAAAAAATATTACTTTTCATGATATTGTTTATTTCTTCAAACTAAAATAAGCATTTAGACATAATATTGTGTGTGTGTGTGTGTGTGTGTGTGTGTGTGTGTATGTTGTTCTTGTGATTTTAACTCAAGAACTATCTCTTAGTTGTTGTTGTTTTTTTCCTCAAGGATATTGCTCTATCATTTGAATCACCATTGTATTTCTGGCTTTGTGTGTGTGTATGTTTGTGTGTGTGTGTGTTGTGATGTGTGTGTTTGATTAATTGAGATGTGTCTCATAAACTTTCTTGGCAAGGCTGACTTTGAACCCCATCTTCCTGAGTAGCGAGAATTACAAGCTTGAGACATCCATATTTAGCACAGATTTAATATATCTAAGAATAAAATAAATTGTGTTATTTGAATTCTAGAGCTTCAATTTAACAAATTAACATTTAGATATTTATTGTTATTAAACCTGAACTTGCATTGTAAAAAATAGTTTTCATTTTTATGAAAAAATATGCACTCAAAGGTTTAAATGACAGAATCTTTAAACAAATTGAAATATTCTAATATTCAAAAGCAAAAAAGGAATTGTTAATCAAATTTCTCATGTAAGCTAAAAACAAAAGGCTCTGTAAGGCTGAATGAAACAATTTTTCATTAAATTAAATATTATATACTGCGGTCACATGAATTTATCTTCTTTTAAACCTAATCTTTTTTAGATTTTGTAGATTCATACATTTTGTGAGTATATAAATATCTTTCTTACTAGTCATGTATTTCTGAGGTTTGATTACCAAGTCATTTCAGAGAAACACTGAATTTCATGTATTTTATGTCAACAGTGATTTTTAGAAATGGAATCAACCTCAGTATAAGATAACTAAATCAAGATATTTAATCACTTATCCAATTATTCCTATAGACTTAAAGATAACTAATTTTTGAATGGTAGGAAATTCATATTATACCTATTCTTTAAAAAATAATTCTGATAAATGATTGTGATAGTATTTATTTTTCCTTCAACTTGAAGTAAAGAACCTCACTATTGATGACAAATACTTGAATGGAAATGCCATAAAATTATGAAAAATTCAAGTCATTATGAGTTAGATGAAATAGTCATTTTTGAAGGTCACAAAATGAAATCTCTAGGAGCTTCCTTATCTATTAAATAAAATGTATTTGAGCTTAAAATATTTCCTTCATCTCTCCAGCAATGGTATAAGCAAACCACCTCTATGCCAAATAGCATCTCTCATATTTAGGAACAGAAGTTATCACAATTGTATAGAAAGATCTACCCAGAAATTAAATCTGAAATAATAAAGGATTGGGATTAATAATTAGGTTTCACTATGTTGCCATAAAGAGGTGAAACCTTTCAAGTGGGCATAGTTACAGAGATTAAGTCACTGAGAACTTGTGATCAAAGAAGGTTTAAGATCAAAGTCCTTTCTTCCTCTTCCTTCGTTTACTTCTCTGTCTCCTTCTACTTTTCCTTCTTCCTCTCCTCCTTCCCCTCCTCCCCTTTCTCCCTATCCTACTCCTATTCTTCCTTTTCTTTACTTCCTCGCTTCCATGAATACACGTACTCCATCACATGTTCCTGATATGGGGTACTGTACCACCACCAACCAAAAGCAATGAGGATAAGAAATGTAAATTAAAATGTATAAAATCAGAAACCAAGATTAATTTTTCCTCCTTTGAAGTTAATTTTATAAAGTATTTTGTAATATTAATAGGAGACTGACACAGCATGTTCTCATTAATTATAATGGATAAGATTTACTGGAAATAAATCTGGCCAACATTGTCCTAATGAAATAATTGATTAAATTAATATTATATTTGGACAAATCTACTTTAAAATATCAGATATACTTCAATAAGAGGCAAAAAATATGTTCAGAGGGAGAGAGTAGAGGCGAAGCTAGAGGCTAAACAAGCTCTCGCATAGAAAGCAGTTTTACTGTTCCAGTGAACAGTCCTAGGCTACAGAATCACACCAAGTGTCCCATCACAGTACAGAGAGTTTGGCAAGAGAAGGAAAATGCAGGCAAGGAGACAGATCAGAGCACTTACTGGTAGCCACGGTTGTGGCGGCTGTGGCAGCAGTGGCAGCTGCCATAGCCGCCATACCTATAAAACAGAGTCCAGGACAAAGATGCCAGACACAGCGGGACAGCAGATTCTACTCAACACCAGTAAGAACTGACAAGGAGCAGATATCTTCATACTGCAGATAGCAAACCAGA